TTTAAGTTTTTTCCTAATTATTTATTTATACATTCGACATATGATGGTCAAGCAGATCAGTTCCTAGGAAACCGACAGCCCGACAACATCAGATTTGATTATAGTGGTGATGGTTTCGTGCAGGACCATCCACACTTATTGAAGGGCCGATTACAGAGACCTGGTGCACTACGTGCCACAAGGTCCCCAAACGACCCTCCACAGGTTTTGAATTCAGAGTTGTCCTTCTCCTAGACCAGTTGCCATCCAAGTCTATAGAACCCAGTCTGCCCTGCTATTTTACCCATAGCTGGAGGGAGAAGAAGAGGATTAACACCTTTCCCAAGGATATTAGCACGTAAGTGAATGTAATGGATTCGACTTGAATTCGAACTCAGCTCTCCGATTCCTCAATCTAAGCCGCTATCCATTACTCCGCCCTTCCTATATAGCAGAAAGAGAAAATGGTAAATCAGGATGGCAGTAGATAGAGATTAACACTGCATTTAAATTCTTGCAGATTAAATTTGCCTGGAAAGCGTGGAGCCGGAAACGAGATCCACCAGCGATAAGTGCGAGAAAAGAAACTCTTAGCATAGAACTTACGGCTACATCTAGCTAGCTGAAATATAAAGACATCTATCTATCTTTAATTGGTATCATGCCATGCAAGGCGATAAAGCCACTAAGACACAAGGGCTGACAGGGTGTGGTAGCATAAGGAACAGAAGCATTAATAATGAGCAGGAGAGGAAAGGCTAATCAGGAGGACAGTCGATAGCGATTGACATTGCGTTTAAATTTTGAAGATTAAAGTTGGCTGGGAAGCATGAAGCCGGAAGGGTTTTCGCAATTGAGAAGTGTGAAAAATGAAATTCTTACCATAGAACTTACAGCTATATCTCGCCAGCTCAACTAACAAATGATGAGATTTTGACCCCAGTCTAATACTGCGCTTAATCTAAAAATGTCTAGGTACCACGGTGAGGAGCTGATTCGAACAATTAGCATGAAAGTATTTATAGAAAAGACACAGAAAGATAACATAGCAAAATACTTATTGACAACACCAATATCTTATACCACGAAAATAAAAATTACAAACTCTCGAGGCCCCTCTATATCAAAAGCCAGCAACCAACACTCAACAAAAATTATTACGAGTGTAGCAGCAACGTGTTGAAGTGCATATAACAACCATTTAATGCCGTTTTGCAATTCTACCTATTTCCGGTTAGCTCCATTGTATGGGGGCGCTTGTTTTGCAAAAGATTGCATAGCTACAACGGATAAATTTATTTTTAAAAAAAGTAATTGTAACAAAGCGCTTTCAAGCCTGGGTTCTTAATAATTATCACAATGAAATGCAGATTTCATCACAGTTACAATAAGTTTGTAATTCATCCCTGGAGATGATCTTGAAGGAGATCGAAAGTGCTTGGGTAAAAAAAAACTAAGGCACCTTCCTTGATGAATTTCATCTTAACCTCAATAAACTGATTAGAGAACTCGAAAGAATCAGTATAAAAATAGACATAATGTTTATATTATGGAATGAAACATGCCCGGATGAATATATGCTGCCTATATACAGTGCTATTCGATAAAAGTGACTCACCTTATCCTTTGAATTTAGTTCAACTTTCGTTTCATCGGAGAAGAGACCATTCTTCCAGTCTTCTATGGTGAAATTTTTGTAATAGTGAGCCCATTCAAGTCTCTTGGCTTTGTTGGCTTTGCTTATTGGCAGCTTAAACCTTCGTGTACAAGATTTGTAGCCTTGTTCTAACAGCCACCGACGGACTGTTGAAGAGGCAAGACTAACACCTTGCTCTTCGCTTAGACTGGCTGCAATTTATTGGCTAGTTATAGTCCTATTCTTCGCAACTTCTCTCTTGATTACCCTGCCAGTTCTATCTTCAATCTTTTTCTTTCATCCCCTTGTTTCCTTCCTTGGAGTAGGAGTGGCATCATTATGTGCCCTAAGCACTCGAGAGACAGTTGATTGCGAGGTTATAGCAATTTCTGCAATTTCTCTCATAGATTTGCCTGCTTTTGAGAGGGCAATAATAGATGCCTTAAGTGGTTCTGATGCCTGTTTGTACCCTTTCATCTGGTTAGTGACTTGAGTGGCTATTTCAAGCTGTTTTTATATTGTATGAGGCTTTCTGGAATAATCTGGAATACTCTAGATTTAATTTAAGTTGTTCTAGAATTCTCTAGAATATTGTTCTGAGTGTATTGTAAAATAGTTTTCAATATTTTGTCAAAAGCTCTTTAAATTTACCAGTTTAATCATTGGAATGCGATATCTGGGTCACTTTTTTTTGCATAGAGTTTTTTCCCGGATCTCATTTATATCCAAATTTATAATTATCAATAGAATACCTTAGGGAGAATAAAGTGTTTTTCCTAGGTGCGAGGGAAGGGGTCTTTATATTAGTAAGATTAAAAATTATTTTAACCCCCGAAACAGCAGAAAAAAATAATTTTAGTAGTGAGTCACTTTTATCGAACAGCA